TATATATATATATATATATATATATATATATGTATAAAATCTTTTTTATAAACATTCATTGGTTGGTGGACACATAGGCTGATTTGTAACTTGGGTATTGTGAATTGTGCTGCAGTAAACATGGATTGCATGCATCTCTAAAGTATGCTGACTTTAATTTTTTTGTTAAATACTGAGGAGTAGTATAGCTAGATCATATGGTAGTTCCATTCCTAATCTTTTGAGGAAACTATACTGATTTTCATAGTGGCTGTACTAATTTACATTTCCACATACAGTAGAAATATGTCTCTACTGTCCTAACTTCCTTCGTTAGGCCCACTTGCTAAATGTCCCATCACCTCCCAGTAGTGCCACATGCTGGTGACCAAGCCTTTAACATATGGGTCTTTAACATATGTATATCTACACCATAAATTTGTAAGTGGCATAATGCTTTATAAATATTTATAAAAATATATTTATAAATGTGGGATAATTGAATAAATTAACTGGGGAACACAGAACATAAGATATTATCATGTATTAATTTGATTTTTTTTTACTTATTTATTTGACATAAAAAAGTTGACTCAGGGATGCTTTCAATAAGAGACACTAAGGTAGTCTGAAGTTGTTCTGAGATATTGGAGAGTTTCATACTACTTTTTGACTATTGAGACATAGTGGAGAGTTTCATACTACTTTCTATCTTTTTTTACTATCTCATCCTTGGGAAAATTCCATTTAACACTTTTAAATTGACTACTGGAAATATCAAAGCAAAGCCTAAAATGTCTAATCTATTCAATGTATTTCCCTGTAGTAAAAAAAAAAAAAAAACTTATTGTACTTTGTTTCTTGTTACATCATTATTGCTTGTCCTCAGTGTCATGATTTAATGCTCAGTTTTTATACAATGGAGGCTCTATCTGAATTTTTAGAACTCKGATAAAATTTGAGTTGATAAACTAATTTGTTGCACATACATCTGTTCTCTCTGTCTCTATTAAAGTATAATTTGATCAATATTTTAGAAAAATGTTTGATCATGCTTTTGGCATTTGTGAAAGATATTGAATTTTCTGTCTGGGAAAGTAAAATCTTTTTCTGCTAGACCATAATCAATCAAGAATTAAATATCTTAATTTCTATAGTTGTATCAAGATATTGTCTTATTCTGTTTTCTGTTGCTGTAGCATAATAACACAGAGAAGGTAATTTATAAAGAAAAATGTTTACCTTAGCTCATAGTTTTGAAGGCTACTAGATCCAAGAGCATGGCCCCAGCCTCTGCTTGTCATCTGGTGAGGACATTCYTGCTGCATCATAACATAGTGCAGAGGGTGTCATGTGGTGAGGCAGAGCAAGAGGTCTTCGCTCTGCTCTCTCAAATCYTGTTACTTCCGAAGGCCCGACCACCAAATACCATTAAAAAATTTAATTTGGAAATTAAGTTTCTAATACATGAAGTTTTAAGAAACACATTCAGATCAACAGATAAACAATATGTTTCTTGGCCATCAGTAAGATATCAAATAATTAATATCCCTTAATTGTTTTAGTATATTAATATCCTTTAATAATTTTAGTATTTATTTTTGTTTTCTTAAGACTACCTTACACTGGTTTTGTGTGATTTGCTGATATCGGTGTTTATATTCCTTGTGAGAGTCACTGGATGATGCTTTTTCAGTCTAGGCTCTCTTTCCTACAAGGTGTGAAGGTTGATGTGATTTAACACCAGAATGTGCAGACGAAGCTTGTGATGATATGAATGGTTTTGAAGCATTTGTTTTCCAAATCATTTGCCACTGTGTCAGCCATTGCTGAATAGTGGTCAGTGTATATCAGCAAGTGCATGAATGGCTTTCTGGGAAAGGTTATTGTTGCATTCAGAGAAAGTGAAATTTTTCACTTCATTTACAATTAGGATGATAATTAATAAATGAATTTTAATAGTATTTCCTCTGATTTTTTTTCCTTCCTCAAAAAAAGCATCTTAGGCTAAATTATTCAAATATTTGTCATTGTCATCTCTACCATCATCATTATCAACATCATTTTTATCCAGAGGTGTACATAAATCTTAATTATTTACTGGAAAATTGAATAATACTTTCCCTTTATGAATATTTTTTTTSTTTTATAGCTTTTCTCAATAAAAGAGCAAAGCCTCAAGAAATAATAAATTCTGATATGAAATATAGTATAGCTTCTATTTTGTATTTTCATTGAGATTACACTTGATAGATTAAAACAAAATTTCARTGTTTAGAAAACAATGGATTTCTTATAATTCTTGTTCCCATATATTAGAAAGTTTTAATTAAATTATATTAATTAAATTATATAAAAACTTGAACCATGCTGTTGATTCTATTGAAGCAAACATATGTTTGAGCAATGTATAGGAGAAGGATAGTATGAATACTTGAATATTCTGATAGAGGTATTTCATATATTTATATTTATTTATAAAATTTTAAATATAGTGTCTTTAACAGCATACTCTCAGTAAGTTGAATAGTAAAATTATTCTGACCGTGACTTWTTTTTTTTTTTTAATGATGAAGAACCATTTAGTATCTTTCAAAAACCTAAAGGTATTATTGTAAATATCAATTGTTGGAGCTGCATTTTGAAGGGGTAGGAAGTTGGAATAAAATATCCTGGGACGGTTTTGAATAATTCCCTAATATTAGCTTCGTTGAAATTATTAATATGCTTCAGAGAAAATATGTTAATTGTGCTTTCTCAGTTTTAGGTAAATCCTATTTTTTAAATGTTAGTACTTAATATTATTAGTATTATGTTTCTTAAACAGTAAATAACTTAGGAATTATTATCTCAGTCCTATGTCTGTTTTATAGTTTGAGGATAACCAATAGTGTGGGACTTAACCAATAGTGTGGGACTGGAAGAATTAATCTACAATGACATATTAAAAACATGTATCTTTTTAAAAATTATTTTTAATTATATATAACAGCAGAATGCATTACCATTCTTATTACACATATAGAGCACAATTTTTCTTATCTCTGGTAGTATACAAAGCATATTCACACCAATTCCTGTCTTCATACATGTACTTTGGATAATAATGACCATCACATTTCACCATCATTTCTAACCCCATGCCCTCTCCCTTCCTGTCCCACCCCTCTGCCCTTTGTAGAGTTCATCTATTCCTCCCATGCTCCCCCTCTCTACCCCACTATGAATCAGCCTCCTTATATCAGAGAAAACATTCATCATTTGATTTTTTGGGATTGGCTAACTTCACTTAGCATTATCTTCTCTAATCATACACTGCTGGTGGGACTACAAATTGGTGCAGCCACTATGGAAAACAGTATGGAGATTCCTTGGAAAATTGGGAATGGAACCACCATTTGACTCAGCTATCCCTCTCCTTGGTCTATATCCAAAGGACTTAAAAACAGCATACTACAGGGACACAGCCAAATCAATGTTTATAGCAGCACAATTCATAATAGTTAAACTATGAACCCAACCTAGATGCCCTTCAATAGATGAATGGATAAAAAGTATGGCATATACACACAATTAAATATTACTCAGCAATAAAAGAGAATAAAATCATGGCATTTCAGGTAAAAACATTTATCTTGAAATCACACAACTAAAGGGGATCTGCACAAGTTCTCCTCTTGGAGTCCTAGGAAGCTGCCTTCATTTAACCTGGGGTTGCACTGTCTTCTACTTGCAGGAACCCAGGATGGCACCTTCACAGCTAGCCTGTGTACTTGCATCTAATCAGAAGTATGTACTTTTAGGTCTTTAATATTTTATTTGATTGACATCCTGACCTTTCATCTCTCACATGCACATGCATTTTTCTGAAGTTTCCTATATTTTCAGACTTAAAAATGTGTTCATGGAAACAACATGAGCTAATCCTAGCATTGTACTGCCACCTATTTTTGTTTCACAATCCATCATAAGATACTGTGGTACTACCATGACCCTGCCTTAGAAGTTCAACACCAGGATGTTTATGATTCTGTTTAGAATTAGCATATTTGTTTTCAATTTTCAGTTGTCTTTTAGAAGTGGGAATGATTATATTAAGTTAAATATTAAAATCTGTAGTTGTTGTTTAGCTTTTAGGTGTTGGTCATAATATGTTGCCTAATCTTAGACATATATTTAGAAAATTTCTTATCTGATTTCTAAAACCACAAAACAACTCTTGAACTTATTAGTTGTGGAACTAATAAGTTCCACAACTAAAAGTTCCATAACTAATAACTGATTGCCAAGTGGACACTAAATTAAAATGTTATATTACTTTATAGGAGTGGGAGGGTTTAACAATACTGATTA